GCTCGCGGAGGGGCCGCCGGGGCACGGCGAGGAGGAAGAGGAGGGTGCAGAGCTTCCTCCCTCCTTCCCTTTGCACGCGAGGAAGGGAAACAGCAGCAGCCTTTTCGGTAACCCTGGGGCCTGGCGGAATTGGCCACACGCATCCTGTTACCTGCCCCATGAATAGCAGATTATCTGTTTGTTCATAACTGCATCTGGAATAATCTGACAATTAAAAAGAAATCTCTRTTAGTATTTTAAAACAGGAATTTTGAGGAAATCTTACATCTTGTTTCCAAGTTCACTGTATTGCCTATTGAAGGTAGGCACTCTGACATGCACTTTAAACTGTAAATCTGTGTTTTTACTAACTGGATACCTTCTGTTTTCTCTCTGCAGGAATGGAGGATAAGAAACTGATTTCTGCAACAGACGCACAATATTCTAGCGTGCTCCTTCAGTCTTTGAATGAACAACGTGGGCATGGACTTTTTTGTGATGTTACTGTCATTGTGGAGGATCGGAAATTTCGAGCTCACAGAAACATCCTTTCAGCCTCAAGCACGTATTTTCACCAGCTTTTCTCAGTGGCTGGGCAAGTGGTTGAACTGAGCTTTGTAAGAGCAGAAATATTTGCAGAAATACTTAACTATATCTACAGCTCCAAAATAATCCGTGTTCGATCAGATTTGCTTGATGAACTGATTAAATCGGGGCAACTATTGGGTGTTAAATTCATAGCTGATCTGGGTGTCCTGCCATCAGAAGGAAAGACCATGCTGGGTGATGCCCAAGACGGCGCTTCAGAAAGCCCAGGTCAAAGGGATGCTCAGACACAGGTCCCTGCAACACGACAGGAGAGCCGAGAGGCATCGGGCGGGATGCCCGTTATAACAGAATCATTCTCCTTACACGGCATACAGTACGAGACTGCAAAAATTACAGTGAGTGATTCAGATGACGAAGACGACGATGTCATCTTTTGCTCCGAGATTGTTCCCCCAAAGGAATGTGCTAAAGATACGAGTGCTGCAACGCAGAGCCAGCCTTGCCCAACCCCGATTGAAGTTTCTGACCAGAAATCATGTGGCAGTGGTGGCGGCTGCTCTCCCCTTCCAGCCAGCACCGCAGCAACTCAAAAACTCACTTCACCTGCCAGCCAACCAGGTCCAAACCAAACACAATCAAGTGCCGAATGTCCTGTCACTCCGACCCCCCAGCATTTGACTCCCAATATAATTTTGCTAAACCAGGCTCCACTTAATTCTTTACCCAGCATCAGCTCCTCCAACCAAACAAATGTGCCCCCTACAATTAATCTGCTTGAAGAGAATCAGCCGCCACCTAAGAAAGATTGTGTTACTGAAACAGCTGCAGTTGATGTTGATGAGGAAGATGGTGAAGATGATGAAGTCATTAGCTCCTCTAGTCCTGGTTCAGTCAGCAGTAACTCTTTGGTTCAGCCACCTTCTACGCACAAAGCAGCACCCTCTGAAAGTTCGGGTGTACAGAAAAAACAGCTTGTTACATGTTCACAAGAGCCGTCTTCAAAACCTGGAGAATTCAAAATAAAAATCTCGGATGTTCTGACTGGAAACAACAAGGAATTTCATGCAGGTGTAGCACCAAAACATGTGGCAGAGGGGCAGAAAATCATAACCTTAGATACAGCGACTGAAATAGGAGGCTTATCCACGGGCTGTAAGGTTTATGCAAATATTGGTGAGGATACCTACGACATTGTCATCCCTGTGAAGGACGATCCCGAGGAAGGGGAGGCCAAACTCGATGAAACACCTCGAACATCCGGCGATGATTCCCCAAGCAGGAAACGCATGAAAGTGAAGCACGATGACCACTACGAGCTCATAGTGGACGGCAGGGTGTACTACATTTGTATTGTATGTAAAAGGTCATACGTATGTCTGACAAGTTTACGGAGACATTTTAACGTTCACTCCTGGGAGAAGAAGTATCCGTGTCGATACTGCGACAAGGTTTTCCCCCTGGCAGAGTACCGTACCAAGCACGAAATTCACCACACCGGGGAGCGAAGGTACCAGTGCTTGACGTGTGGCAAATCTTTCATCAACTATCAAGTCATGGCCTCGCACATACGATCCGTTCACAGTCAAGACCCTTCTGGAGACACCAAGCTCTACCGGTTGCACCCCTGCAGGTCTCTGCAGATCAGACAATACGCGTATATCTCCGACCGCTCGAGCAGTATACCTGTCATCAACGAGGATGGAATTGTTTATCATGTTGGCACAGGAAAGGATGGTGCTGAAGGAACAACGTCGACTCCTCCCGCCAAACAAATGACCTGGGATGACATTTTCATCCCTCAAGGAAATGAAGCAATTTTTAAACAAAATCCATCAGAGGGAAGTACTGAGTTTGAGTTTGTAATACCAGAGTCTTACTGAAATGCATTAAATGCTGGGTGGGGAGGGGGGAAAGCTTCAGTACAGAAAAATTGCAGCTGTTTTCAATGAACTGCTAAAATCATTGTAAAGCATATTGTTAAAGTGAAAATAAGTTAACTTGTTCTGCCAAGCCATCAAATGGTAATACTTGGATGGATTAGCTCCAAGTAATTTGTAGAAGAGATTCATCTGAAAGTTTACTTGAATAAGAGTRAGACGTTTCCAAGGAACCGGCAGTGTTTTCTAGTACATTAATTTTGATCAAAACATGGGGCTTTGTAGCTTGAAAAGGTACAGTTTCTTCTAAAGAACTAGGGRAAAAAAAAGGCTTCTAAAGTAATTGAGGTATTTCCTCTACCCACATTTATTATATAAACCCTTTCTTTCATGTTAGCACTTTAATGTTTAATTGTGTTTAGACATTAACCAAGACAATAAGACTTTTCACCATAGTCTCTCGAATATGGAACCATTTTAAAGAAATCCCACATCTCGTGTCATTTCTGTGAACAATGCTTTACTGCAAGGGTCCAAAATAATTGATCCAATAGTTTGGAGTAGTRTATTTTTGAACTAGCATCTTAGTTCTGCTTTTATAATCAATCTGAATGAGTAAGTTATCATCATAACAGATATTCTTGCAAACAAGAAATACTCTGTTTGGGCTAACTTGAACAAACCTTATTTATATTTGGCAGTATGGTGAGTGGAGAATATTCAGTGGCTGGGCCATTATATTTTATTCTTTTTGCAAAGGGGAAAAAAAMCTAAGCTTAATTGTGAAGAAGTTTAGAACATTTAGGAAGGAGATATTTTGCATTTTTAAATTTTGGGGAATAATGTTTAGTTTTATTACTGCTGGAAAATATAACTGTAACTTGGCATAAATTGCTATTCTTTTTTTCTCTCTTTATGGAGAAATGCTTCAATCTGGTATTTGAAAAAAAGCAAACATGTTTTTTCTAGATGAAGGCATTGAAACTTAATTCTGGCAGTGCTGTATCAGTTCAGCACTGAGGCTGCTCTGGATCYTGGTGTGAATATTTAGCTAGATTGTTACGTGAATCAAGAAATTGGATTTTTCTTCCCCCATTTAAAGGGGGTGCAATCATGGAGACTAAACCAACAATCAAAGATTAACCCYCCCTCCCCCAATATATGGTTTAATTTCTATACAGTTTCCATAACAGAGACATCTATTTCAGTTTATTATAWTGCCCCTTTTTTTCTTATTGCAAGTGGTACATGTTTAGACACTTAGAAAATAGTCAGTAGAAGTCCAACTTGAACAAGAAATAGTGAATATGAGAAAAAAACCAACAGCTGTTCACTGGAGTCATAGTTTAGCGTTCCAGATTTAGTGACTTGTTGCATTTTTGTAAATGGCAATATGAAAGTTGCACAGCAGCTTTAGAGATGACTGAGAGAGATTATTGTGCATAGTACTAGTTAGTTAATGGTAACCTTTCCTTAAACTGCAGTTAGGGGTTTTTCTCCTCTTTTAACCTCTTAAGTAAACATCTTATGCTATAGCCTTCACTCTTGAGGTTTYAGACATCCAGTATTCTTGACAGAAGGTTATTTAAGTGGTAAATTATTCAAATGTAGCTCGAGCTATTAAAAAAGGGTACCAGAGATCAGTATTTGTAATGAAGGGAGAAAGAGGAGAACTGGTTTACCTTCTATATGTAATACTCAGCACTTCTTTTTTCAATTTTTTTTTTCGTTTGTTTGTTTGGTAGGCAAAGAATATGATAGACATGGTTATTTTCGGGTCACGCTGCAAACTGCTCTGAACATAGAGGGGTTTTGGTGGCAGGTTGGCTGGTGGCCGAGCTGGGCCTGGGCAGTTAAGCTAATTCTCACGAGGAGTCGGTGCTGATYTCCTGCGTTAGCACAGGTTGCCCTGGCTTAACTAGCCTTGTGCTACAGGGGAACTTCTTGAACTATTTGTCATGAAAACACAAGGTTACTTTGCTCCTGATGTTGTGACACAGCTGGAATTAAGTGTACATTGCAAAATATACATTCATTAATAGTGGGAAAATAATGGCTATCAATAGTTGCTGCTGATATATTTAAAACCTTAAATGAAACTGTGCCTACTAAAGGTCTTTTTTTTTTTTTTTTTTTGAGGAAAACTGGAAAATTAGGGCTTTGTATCTTTGCTAGAAGACTCGTGCTTGCATGTGTCTCAGGGTCTTCAGTTTTCCTTGGAAGTGATTTTTGATATCCAAAGTCCAGAGATCATGTAAAGCATTTTTGATTTCACTTCCACTATTTATTGAGTTAAAAACATGTTATATCCTTTTTTTTTTTTTTTNTTTTTTTTTTTTTTTTTTTTAACTTTTTATGGGGCCATGAGCTTTTTAATGTAGATTCCTGGCTATTGCACTTTTTTTTTTTGGTAAACTTTTTAACTTTAATTTAATGACAAATACTCTGTAAATATTAAGAAATTGGCTTCGGGATAATGAAAATAAAAAGACTGAATCCAAAAAAACAATTATCTAAAAATAATAATAATAAAAAAGAGATTGGTAGCAAAGCTAACAGTCATTTACATACATGCAAAAACTTTACCTGATCTCCTACAAAGCATTTTAATGATGGCTGCATCCTCACCGTATGGGATTCATACCACAGCATTCCAGTATATGAATGAAACAAATATTGAGATAACAGAATTGATAGATTACTTATTTATTTTGTACTGTTAAGGCATGCAGCAGATAAAAGATGCAAAAGCTGAACTCGTATACATTGAACATTGGGTCTACAGCTGTTACCTATGAATGGKTCTCTGTGAAACACTTAGCATTTTTACCAGGTCTGTAATGTATATATACTTGTACAGTCTTTCCTTAACACACTTTTTAAAGTTGTGTTCTACTTTTCATTAATAAATACTTGATATTAGTTCTTAGAGCTTTCTATGGCAAAAATAAAAGGTTTAATTCTAAAGATGTGCAACATGTTTCTTTTTCAATGGCAGTCAACTTTTCCAGTCTATTAAGAACAGTAGTGAACTCCCAAGTTTGATATTTTTTGCAACTGAGCACTTTTTTTTCCCCCCAAGAAAGTGAAATAGCTGGAAATTTCCACTGCATAAAGGGAACTGAGTTTTGTGATATGCACTTTTTCTCAGCATAGTTGCAACTGGTGTGGAACAGTCTGTCCGACCACTAATCAGGCTGCAGATGACCTAGAAATTAAGAATAACAGACTGACCTGTGCAATGCATATCCACTAACTCACTGCTAGGGTCCTTATTCTTAATTAGTTAGTAACTAGTTATCATTTACAAAGTTCAAATGATATTGAACCTTGACTACTATGGAGCAACTTGCTGCTAGCTTCTGATTCCAGGTAGGGAATACAGTTTAGGGATGAGTAACATCTACAAATGGTATTTTGTATTTGTTTTTCCTCCCTGGTGTAGGACTTCCACCTACTTCTGCTATYGTTTGAAAAGATCATGATATAAATATGCCCCAAGTAATACAGTTGATGTGGAAGTGACACTGCACCATCTGGATTATTTGCACATCTGTTAAGCAAAAATTCAGCAGTAAAAAAATAAAGCAGCATTGGTACTAAGAAAAMCACAGGATTTTGAGTCTTTTGCCTGTGGCCAGAGCAGAGAACTGAGAAGTGGGGGCCCCTGGGGCTTTGTAAAACAAATCCTACGAAATAACCACCCAGTAACTACTCGTAGGAGAAGCACTGGCTTCCAATATAGCAAATACAGCTTTTGTTAGTTGGTTTGTTTTTAATGCATGCTGTTATTACACTGAAATTCCGCAACTGCCATTAAAAATGCTTGTAAAACACAGGGAAGTTGTTAAAATGTAAAATGTAATTTGTAAATGTTTACAAAATTCACACAATTTTATTTAACTTTGGTAAAGTAATAAAAGGGTACATATGAGYCACAATCTTTACATTCTCAGAAGAAATGATGGATACAGTGCAGAATATTGCATTTACACTAAATATTTAGATTTATTCAAGTGGTAGGAAACAGGTCATTGAACAGAAAATCCCATGGAATTGTCCTTTGATRGTGAATTTAAAGCAGCAATGTAATTTTTGCTTAAAGAGTGCTTAGATCTTAAATTAAGATTCACTAGAGAGAAAAAAAAAAAGAATTGGGGTAACTTCCTAAGGTTATATATTTGTCAAGTCAAAAACGACGACAAAGCCATTTCTTTATTTCCCTGCCACTAAGTTATGGTCCCCTCAGGAACCCTACTCCGTTTCTTAGCAATGTGCTTTAAATCCTGTCCCCTGTAGTGTCCTCTCATCCTTCCAGCCCCATTTAAGTAGACAGGCACAAATGGCTTAGTATATGTTTGTCAGAAGTAGGACAGGGCTGTTACTTCAAAGATAGAGCAATAAAAGGCTTTTTGGTACTAAGAAATTAATGTGCCCTTCAAATTCTAGTTTTTGTGGGGTGTTTTATCAATTGCTTATTTTAAACTGTGCACTATCTTCTTAACAATTTTCTTATTTCCAGCACTTGAATTTATAGGCACTGCACTTCAGCAGTCAACAAAACAAATCAACAGTAAAACAAAATGTTACCACGATATATTCTGCATACATTACTGCTTTAAATCCGGTGAGTTGTATTACTTTCTGCAGCCATTTGCCCTCACTGTTGGAGAAACGTTATGTGTTTGCTTCTGGATAAACAGTATCATCCTTTAGCTTAATAATACACTGATTTGTATTTGACAGTGGAATGATAAGGTTAACACATAACATAAGAACTCTGTAAATGCACAGGATTAAAGACAACATTATAAAGTGTGGGTGTACTTTGAAAAGTGAGATCAGGGACTTCAGTGCTTATTTTTCCTGCAGATAATCTCAAATCTATTTGATTGATTGATTGCAAGTATAGAGATATCMCAATTCAAAATCTTTTTTTCCTAACATCTATATCATTTTTTTTTTAGATTCTGTGAGCCAGATAGCTCTCAGTTATCTTTTTGTCTGTATCAGGGTTGAATGTAAATATTGACAATTTCTGCTTAGACCCCAGCAATCTGAAGCAAAGGAAATCAAATCTTTCGGAAATAAGGAATAAAACCCCGATAACTTGTTTCTACCCCTGAAGCAAGCAGAGATGAGAATGCTCAGGCTGAGCAGCTCAGTCTTGAAAGGTGTCATCTGAAATCACTTCCAGGAGTAGCACCACACTCCACAGGACACTGTGTCACGTAACAAAGCTGACCTCCTTTTTTGTTAGGCAGGATGCATGCAAAATCTGCTGGAATCTAGACCAATCAGCACAGTCATCAGCTGAAGATTAAATGAAAGTCACAACAATAATTGCAAATTCCTATCAGCTTCAGCCTACATTACATGGTATTGAATTTTACCCATGTGAGACTTACATCCTGAASAACTAGTAGGGGGAATTTGGTATGTGCAGCCATAATATAGCTACTAAATCAGTGCTTATTCAGGATGCTGATTCAATCCATTACAAAAGTTAAAAGCACAGTCTTAAAAAAAAGTCTCAACTAAATAGAAGGGAGAAAAAAAAAGTGTCTTCATTGGCCTGTGTTTCAGTGACCTGTGCAGTTCCTGATACTTTTTACAGCAATACAAGGAAAATGTAGGCAGTGCAATGACCCAAACTGCTTGACTTCAGCAATATTTATACAAGAATTCTGAGGCAGGCAACTGCATTTCAMAACTTATCTCAAGCAGCATCCTGAAATAAACCAGATTGCCTRTTAATGCTTACCCCTTGGAGAAAGCAATATTCCAGTTGTCCTGCTATGATACACATTAAAACATCCCTTGACATTCCCTCAGTAACGGTGCTGCAGCTCGAGCAGCTGCCCCGGCTCCTCCCTGGGGCTTCCCTGCATGTGTGTGTGGCCGGTGACCAGCACATGGGGCGAGCAGGGCCCAGGAGCCACAGGTCAAATGAAACAAGCATCTGTGGAGCTCTCTGCGAGCCCCTTAGGCAGGACAACGGTTGATGTTGGCTCCCCTTACCTCAGCTTGGCTCAAGATGGAGTAAGGCAGACCAGAATGTATCATGTGTGTTGTATCACTTTATTAAAAAACGAGAACCTCGCTGTAAAACACAGAGGCTGGAATTTAGGTCGCTCGTTACTCACCGACACTGGAACATCAGCAGTTACGTCTCCTTCCCCATACCCAGCTCTTAAACCTCTAAAACAAGTCTTGCAGGAAAGAACAGTCCAATCTGGTATTCAGATTTGCAATTCTCTTCTTTATCTATCCTCCTGCTCCCTCCCCCAGTAAAATATAAATACAAAATGTTCGCAATTACTTCAACGGCAAATATTTCCTCCTCCTGTTCCTCGTTCCTTATGGTGTATAAGGTGGTGGCTTTTCAAAAGGTGGAAAATATGGTGGAGAATAACGAGGAGGAGCATTAGAGGACCACATATAGCTGGGAGATGGTGACACTGACTGGGGGTCGTCTGAGAGGCCAGAAGGAGTAGAGGCTGGGAACACACTGGAATGCTGCAGGGAGAGAGCAAGACGACTGTTGTCAACATTGTGTTTGGAGAAGAGCCTTAAAAGCACCAGGCTCTGCTTAAATTAAAGGGTGGCTGTAAATCAATACTTCCTTTCCAAGCAGTGCAATTTTATTAATGTTTCAAGACTCAAGTCTGGAAAACACAGGAACGGACAGATACATTTACAAGTAACTCACTGCATTAGAGGTGAGCACAGGCTGTAATTAATGTTTCTGCATAGGATTCCTTAGACCTCTGCTGTTTACCTGCTGCATTTCAGAGAATCTGGACAACTGAATACAGATTAGTGTCACAGTTTGGGTTTCACACAATAGCCAGTGCCAACATTGATTAAGCTGTAAATACTTTTTTTTTTTTGTATTACCTTTTCATCACTAATAAAAAACAAAACCCAATCAAAAAGAACCCCACACAAACAGAAGTTAATGGCAACAAAATAACGTTTTCCTTCAATTAGCAAAAAGCTTCARAAGATGGAGAAATGGAATTTGTGCATGCCTGAAAATTAATGCAATCTCTCCAAAATATCCATGTTATCAAAAATACCTCAGATCTAAACTCTTAAATCATTCACTCACTATCAGAAACCCATGAACACACTTCACTCTGCCAGCAACAGGTCAGATAAGTGAATTCTGTACATGTAAGAGCCACAGCTTYGTGCATTCCCTCCTCCGGCTGTACAGCCGTATTTTCATTCCTGACAGTTGTATTTCCAAGCTGTGTCACCCACTTTGCTGTCCGGCCCCCCGGACAGGCCTCCAGTGGAGGAGCAGCACCTGCGAGGCGCCCRGTCACACTCCCAGGCACCGTGATGGCAGAGCAGAGCAGAGCAGCTCCCTGCTCGGGCACCTGGCCGCTGCCCTGGGGCTGGGGATCRGTGCTGGAGCCGGGCAGGGGGGCACTGATGCTGCAGAAATAACAGTTTCCAAAAAGCATCTTTTTAAAGATGCTGGTCGGCTGAGAAGGAAGCACCAGGAGATCCCTAGTAGTCCTTCTGGTTGAAAAGCTGAACAGATCCAGCCATGCTGAGCTCTCTGCTGGTTTGACTGCAGCACAGGCAAACCCAGAGCTAAATAGCTCTTATTATCAGCTGAGCGTCTGACGAGAGAGCTGAGTGGAAGAGCTTGTTTGATATACACTATGGCCGGCATCTTTATAACTGTAGACAGTTACACAACACAGCCGACAGTCCCAGGCTGCACTAATAAACCAGTAGGTCACAAACCTGTACAAACAGGTCCTAGAAATTCTGAGAGTGGAAATGTTCAAACRTTTCCAGAAGGCCCTGACAACAGGGTTGTCCTCGTGTGGCACTATCAGTAAAGACAGAAAGATTTAGATCCAAGTTACCATTCCCTAGCGGAAACTTCTCCTTCTAAGGAAGGAGGTTATCATGGCACMGCTCTGTGACTATTCGAGACCATACCTCTCAGAGGCTGTCCAAGACTTGTGCACTTGTTAATTAAAATCATCTCCAGCCRTGATGGTTACAAAGAATATGTATGATGTGTTTTATCATTGTAACCACCAGGGTAACATCCACCTGACAGAAGAACAGAGGTAGGAACTCCCCATTTACTTCAAAAAGCAAAAACTCAGAGGTAGACAGCACAGTTAAAATAACACTGTTTTTAACTGTACTGCTCCATAACTCAGTCAATCTTGGATTTGCTGAGGGCAAAAAAGCAAAAATCAAAACAACAACAAAACAAGCAAATTCAGAAGAACTCTGCAATCATATACATTTTCTCAGGTATAGCACTTGGTCTCATAAAAATGAGTACCTGAACATCTTGCCTTGCCTCTATCCTTGGAGCATCACGGGTGTCACAGGCACTGACTATTTTTAATGTGGCCTCCACCAGTGAATGACAAGGGAGGCAGGTGGCACTTTCTGCTGCCTTCTCTTTGAAAGGAGCTCTCAGGAAAAAACTGTCTCATTAAAAGGGAACACAGCGAAGGATCGRTAGCTAACAGGAAAGATTTGGTATTCTCTGCATGAACAGAAAAAATGTAAATGTAAATGACTTTGAGAAGTTAGCCCTCTGTAATCTGCAGATTAGGCTACATTTAACCCTGTGGCTGAATAACAAAGTAGCTCGTATTGTTCCATACCTGAAAGTCATACGCGGAATAAGGAGGCAGATGAGGAGTGCTATGGTAGTAGGTGTTGTAAGATGTCACCTGTGGCCTCGAATAATAAGATACTGAAGGATGTGCATTTTCAACAGTACAATTCAGCGTAGGGAGGGAGGGAGTCTGTCAAAACAAAAAGAGATCTCAGCCTGCTAACCAGAACCTCTTCAGAGCCTCAGAAAACTGACAGCTGAATGAAAGCAGAAACGATCTAAGAGAATGATTTAAAGGAGCAGCATGCACATTCAGGGCCCAATTCTGCTGAATTAACCACTGGCAATCCAGTTTCCTCTTAAGCAGCAGGCAAGTCCTGAGGTCAACTCATTCTTTAGCCGTCCATTGCTCCCAGAACAAGCCTGGCAATAGCCCAGAGCATACTAGTGCTCAAAGAAAATGAGTTTTTAGAGTGAATTTTCAGAAATAGYGGAAAGAAACCATTAATTCTGATTACTCTGTTGTTTATTGAATTTTGAAATCAGCGTTTTTCAACTTTTCTTGTACACAAACACTTCAGCACATCTTTCTGTGGTTTTACTGGCTACCTGGAATGGACCAAATCTCAGAGACCGCAATGCACAGCTGGGAACAYGCTCATATTTCTCATATGAAATATGAGAATATCTCATATTTTGTTTGGGAAGATTTTGGTGGCTTTAAAAAAAGTATAAGAAAATTCAGAATTTTGAAATATGGCACATTTGCCAAAAAACGTAAGATKTATTTGTAAGAAAAATACACTGTCRGAACTACAAATGCCCTCTCSTTTGCATCTTAGTTCTTACTATTCCATATGAGTCATAAGAGACTGACTGAAAATCCAAATTTATCTACCAAATGCTCATATTCCCCTTGATTTGTCCTCTGCTGAACAGAAATGTATGGAAGGTAACAGTCTGGCTGAGTGACAATATTTCAAAACTTGCATTGTCAGAACAGCATTTCTTTCATCATCGAAGCTTGAAATCACTTATCTGGTTTCAGCCCCACTTAAATTTCTCAAATTCTGCACCATGAGGAAACTGAATGGAGAGTTCCAGTCAAACAGGGTTGTCTAAGTACAGAGTAAGACTCAGGACTCTACAACTGCTATGAAATCACAGGCTCATGAGCACCCACCACTGACAGTCATTTTCTTCCACGGGGTCAATGCCATGAAAAGGAAGACCATTTTTTAAGAAACAGCTCATTTTTAATCCTGACATTGCCAGCCTTACCGCTGATAAGTTCCCTTGGAAAACACAATTTCCCATTTCTGTTCATGTTCTCTAATTTGTTCAAGTGGTGAAACCAGATCAGAAAACTGAATCATTTTCACTTTCTCCTTACAGTTGCTTCATGCCCTTCCTCCTTGGCCTGACTGCATGGTGCATAAATGATTTATTTTTTTCTCCCCCTCCCCCCACAAAGGAAATACGAAAAAAGCTATTCATATTTCAATCTACCCCATTTGTTTCCTTCAATGTACAGAGAAGCTGGTACCATCTTACCATGTCTTTRAAGCCTCCAAGTATCGCTGCTGTAATGATCCCTAGGAATAGTCCCACTATGTTCAGAATTGTGGCAGACCAAAGCAAGTGGTAAAGGTGGATGATGTCCTGGCAGCTGCTGACATCAATATATTCATAGTATCCTCCAGAGATCTCTACTCTGCTGGATTAGGAAACAGTAACGGCAAAAACAAATGAACTACATGTAAAATGTAAGCGATCCCACTGCACAGCAAAATGCATTCTGCCATTTAATGAGAGCCTGGGCCTCATTTCTGAGGGAAAGGGATTAAAGCTTCCTACATTCCATCCTTGAGGCATTTGAGGTCTCCCTGCCAGCAGAAGAGCTTGATGTGTGAAACAACCAAGTCCTGGAAGCCCTCTAAATGCCAAAACACCCTCGAGTCTGAGTCTGCCGCTTATTTCAGAATATTTCAGAATATTTCAGAATATTTAAGGTTGGAAGGGACCTCTACAGATCATCTAGTCCAACCTTCCTGCTCAAGCAGGCACACCTAGAGCATTTCTATCATCTGAAATCTCCTTAGAGCCAGCCCTTCATCCTGGGGGTTTCCAGAGTGTTTTACAAAGCAGTCCTGGCACTACCCAGGGCAACACGCCGAGGAAGGGCAGCACAGAGGGACAACATGGCCAGCTTCTCGCAGGGACACGAGCCGCGGGACGGGGCAGAGCACGGGCGGCGCGGCCGGCCTCCCGGCAGGCACAGCCRTGAGACACGGCCCCGCGCTCCTGGCGCCCAAACCTGCACCTCAAAGSGCTCCGTAAGGACAGGGGCTGGCAGGACCCTCGGCACCCTGGCCAAGGTCCTTCTGCTAACATCTGAAACCCTTTTCATATGCAAGACAGAGAAAATTCTGCTGATTGTACTTAGGAATGAATCATTACTCCGGAATAGGGAAAATAGCTCTTGCCAATACGTGGGCCTGAGTATTACAAGGTGGATTCTTCAGTAATGACTTCTCTCCAATTGCCACATGGGGGAACAGCCTGGCTTTTGGGGTAATATATCACATTATGAATAACTTATCTCCTAGTTCATATTTGGGATGAGGCTCAAACCACACGGGGCCTTTGAGACAACTGAGAGGAATTAGCTCTTATTTAAGGTCAAGAAGTAGGAGCCTGGAAACCAAAAGCTCCAGGCTCAGCTCTGCAGCAGACTCCCTGCAAGGCCCGCAGGAACCTGCACCCTTTCACAAGGGCCAGTCTCTTTTCTCACTATTACATTCTTTTTTCTTTTTTTTTTTGGGGGGGGTATCATTTGTGTAGCACCAGGCAAGATTAAGATTGTAACAACTGATGTAAAAGAGGAAATGGTGAGAGGCAGGGCTCTAAACCACCCTGATTTAAAAAGGAGGAACAATATAGAACAGTTACAAATATTTCTACTCCTGTACCTTCTCTGTGCATTCCTTCCTTCAAGGAATAAACAGGAATGTGTTCTATAAACAGTCCAAGGAAGGAACAAGCTTCATCTCTGTAGCGGTTCGCACCGGAATGAAGTCCTACAAGCCTGAGACTGGCGACGACCCTTCCCAGCACATCAAAACACTCGCTGATTTAGCCCATGTGCAGCACTTGCTGATTTAGCCTCCACCACGCTCAGTGCTGCACACGGGGTCAGCTCAGCTAAGCAGTCTCAGAGACATTAAGGCTTAAACAGCCCTAGGTAAGAAGCAGCACTAAAAATCAATTGACTAACGGGCTGCCAACACACACTGAACAGTCCGAAYGACACGATGCAGCACATGCTGGAAGTTAAGTGACACCAGGCAGGTTTAATGATAGTGTGATCAGCGTGCTGTGAGGTCTCCTGAAACCTCTGCAAAGCACCAATGCACTTTTCAACCTCTTGAGACCTTCACTGGGCAGGGAGGAAACTGAGGATGAACGTGGATGTGGCCCTAGCCTGGGAACTTTCCTCTCTGTTGACAGGGGACAAAACAGTGAAGATGAGGAAGAAGGGTATCCCAGTTTTTACACCTTCACTCTTCTGAAACAAAAGCCGATGAAATAGTGGTGTCAACAGAGAAGGAAACTGTTAGAACAAGGGAACTGTAGAGGAAAAGCTGCGGAAAACAAGAGGAACAGAAGTCCCAGGGTCTCCTGCCCTGTAGCACGCTCACATGGGGCTGGGGTGACTTGAGTGTAATTCAGAGACCCCTTTATTCTCACTTGCTCTTCTCATGGACAGTATTGCAGCAAGCAACCACAATGTAATTCTTCCTCCTACAATAGCTGTCATTAATAAATATTCTGTCTGGGCCTTATCCTGTCCACTCGAACACCTGCAGACTAGCACGGCCACTGCTTGATCTTCCCATGGCCAGAAATAGCATTTTTTGCTTACTTACTTTCCACAGTTGTACAGGTCACAGCAGAAGCAGGTGTTGGTTTTTATTTTGGGTGTGCAGGGTGCACGGCGTTGCGGGTGACAAATCGCCTGTGTGAATTCAGAAGAAACACAGAGGATACACAGGAGCACACAACCAACACGCACAGTTACTGCTGCTATTTGGCCTGCTGAATAGGTAGATTTTGCATTGGCTTTAGRATTAGCCCCAAGCAGATTTTTCTTTCCTTTTCAGTTGCATAGAAGTACAAAGCATCAGACTCAAACAGACCACCCTTCCTCCCACTACGGGGAAGTTGCAGATAAGCATGTGCCTGCATAGCAAGGGCATTGTGTAACTTCTACAAACAGACAAGACCTTATAGAACTAAAAGTCTCCCCCAGATAGTAACTTAGAGAGGAACAGCTGCCAGTAGGATGATATTATCAGAGAGAAAAATAATCTCATGTCAGCAAACAGGTGAAGCAAGGAGGTCAACGGTCTGTTTGCAGGTAGTAATGCTCAAGTACACATGGGAAGGCCAAAAAGAGAATGGATCCCACCAATGCCACTGGATAGTACTTGTTTTACACCTCAAGCAGATAATTTAAAATATAGCGGTTATTCAAAAATGATTCAGAAATTCAGGAAGAAAATCTTAGAGGGTCTCCCAGAACAGAGCAGAGGTGGTCAAAGATGCCCACACAGGCACTACCCCTACYGGGCAGGAACATCTGCCCCTGCCCGTCCTCTTTAGAGGAACTGTTAGACAGCAGAGGCAGTGGGAAGATGCATACTCCTCATGTGCACAGAAATTACTGTTGTCTGGACTCTCAATCCACCATCCCGCTGCTCCTGTAATCCATGGATTGCTGAAGAAACGGAAATTGGTGCRTTTTCCTCTCTCCCACTGCCTTATCTCTGGCAGCTCCTTCGTTAGCGTAGCTGTGGCAAATATAGAGCAAGACCCACAGTGTCTTCCCCGGCACCTCCCTGCCTCCCAGGCCCTGTCTCCCACCATCTCCTCCATGTGCAGGACTTTGGGGAACCAGCACAACAGCCTGGCAGCTGGTTTCTCCACCCGCAGCGGGAAGCCAGGTCCTTCGAGGAGACAGGGTAGCAAAACCTGCTCTCACCTCTGGTGGGGTTGTACTTTTGGAATAATACTGACATCGTCCTGCGTACAGCGGCCTCAGATCCTGCCAAAGGAAAAGCACCAAACTTAGCTTTGCTTTATAATCAGCACCAGAAATGGCAACCAAGCTGGCAGCTAGATGGTCAGGGAAGATGAACCAGAGCTAGACGGGTCCTGCTCACACATCAGCATCCGAATGTGCTGCTTCTTCAGTAATCTGGCAGCCTCCATCCACCCCCAGWTATTTTATAACTCTGGTCGTTTGAGGTCTGTGCTTGCTAAACAGGGAGCAACCGGCTCTTGAACTGAAGGAGGGCAGCCACCCTGCACAGGATTATTCTTTCCATCTTTTCCCAGGCATATCCCAGGGTTGCCCAACATGTTCCCAGGGCTTCTTCATGCTGACTCATAACAATCTGTCATTAAGCTGGCAAGCTTGTCTTTCTGGGCTCTGAGGGAACGAGGGGAAGGCTCTGGGGGATTATCAATAGCTCCGCCTGCAAACAACATGCACTGAAGTTTAACCTGGGGCAGCCTGCACCCCAGGCCAAAACCTCAGCAAAATCAACACTAAATTTGCACCGGGGACAGCGAGGTGGTGGTTGCTGCCCTCCTCCTGTGCACGATGGTTAATGCACCATGGAGACCAACCCTCGCTGAAGGCCCTTCCTTCAGTCAGACTTGGACTCCAGCTGCCTGATCCACAGCTTGCGGTGAAGCCCCAGCAACAGTGGGCACACGGGAACACTATGTGCTGGTGTGGCAGGAGCACATCTCCAGCGAGATGATGACATTCTTGGACGGTTAGGAGGTAAATCGAGGCCAAAAGCGCGTCCATTAATCAAGAGGCAGAAACCAGAGCCCCGGCCATTCCAAGCACGCGGCGCTGGCTGCCGCAGACGCACAAACATCCCGGTGGCCGGCCGGGAAGTGCCAATTCCTGCCATTACCCGGCCCATGAGGTCAGCATCCCAAGTCACAGAGCGAAGGAGTCATCCTCGTGTGGCCAGGAGTCAAAAACAGCTCCACACTTTTACGAGTGGTAACCCTCCACATGCCCTTGAAAGAGGGGCCAGAGACAGTCAAGAGCTGCTCACTGCACCCAGACAGGTGGTGACCTATCACGCAGCCGAGCAGAGCCACCCTCTGCTCTCTCAGCAAATCCTGCCGTCATCTTCCTACCGTCTGGACGCTCGGAGGCAACGAAGAATAAAGAGCCGGCTGACTCATGGAATTCCCGTTTCATGGCTAATTCTGACATTCCAAAATTCCTTTCCATTCCAAATACAAATAAACTCCTAATCTATTTTTAATACCATTTCACTCAAAATTGAAAAAAAAAAAAAAAAATGGAAACCAAACAATGAAGATGTGGAGGGAAAAAGAAATTTGTTTGCAGTTACATATTCTAATTTAAAACTTGAAATAGCATTTCTTTTTTTACAAATTCAATTTTTTTTTGCATGACCCACAATACTTGTGATTGGTCACTACAACAGTAGCTTTATTTTTATTATTTTGAAGTCTTTGGAAACTCAGAACTGACTGAAAGTGTTTCCCATTTACAGTAACCCTGACCTGTGTATCAAATTGCTTCATTCCACTCCAACATACAGTGGCTCAACCAGTATTAAGAACTGCTTGCAGTAAAAATAAAATGCTACTGCTTGTCCACTGCCCCTTTGCAGTACCCATAATAACATTTTCTGTTGCAGCTTTGAGACTAACACATGAAGCTTATACAAAAACACTAAAGCAAAGTGTTAGGATCTTAATACTTATTTCTCATTTCAAATTATTTTTGTAAAGCTGACACATCGCTTTAAACTCTTGGATTTTTAAAAGCACGTGACATATTTAGAAATCGTAACATGGTCTGATGTAGAACGTAGACACAAGGCTTATCTTGCTCGAGTAGGAGTATTGGAGCACCCTTCTTCTCCTGGGAGCACTTACTATGTGTCTGGCAGCAAAGACTCCATCTACTATTGCACAGCAGAAGGCAGCAATGACGCCAAAGCTGATGAAGACGATCGATGCAACCAGCTGAGAAAGGAAAACAAAGCAAAGTATCATCTGCCTCTCCACAACCAAGTGCTTCATGCCCTTTCCACAAGGATTTATAAATCACGGCCAATAAGCCCTCAAGCAATCGATGGCCCAAATGTTTGCCCAGGCTGCACAGACTTGTCTCATTGAAATCAATGGGATGTGTGGCTTAAAGAAAAGCCTCTCCTTAAGCAGAAGTAGCAGCTCTGCAATAGGAATAGCAGCATCTTGCCAGACAGGATCTCTGAGGAATTGATACTGTAATGTAAGTTTATCCATGATTCCTAGATGCTAACCTTAGGCTTGGATACACCTCCTCTCACAGCTGCTGCTATCCTTAACTGTTCCCTGGAAAGAGAGGAGGAATCTTCTTCCTCCACCCTAGAGAGCACCCAGGAGAACTGCTCATCATTTCAGCCGTAACCGTACGGGCTTCTGCTGAAACCAGCAAGAACCACAAGGCCTCAGTGACCGTGAGGGCTCTGGAGCATAAATGCTCTGTGAGCATTTAGCCTTGGCCATTCAAGACAACGCAGCCCCATAAACAGGCTCACAGACAAAGCTGTAGCTTGGGGAACAGCTGCATTTCCATTTAAAGCAGAGGCAGGTTTCTCTTCAAAGCTTTAGAGGGTTTTTCCCTAGTGGCTTGTCACTCTAATGAGACAGCTTTTGATTGCTGATTTCTGGCAGCCATTAAGGACAGCCTCTCCCCAAAACCAGACGTGATTTCAGTTGGAAAAAAAARAAGAAAAAATAAAGAGAGTGCATAGAGCAGTAACAAGTCATAATAATATAAACACAGAAATAACAACTAGTCTGAGCAGCAGTGACAGGTTACTTAGGTCTCCTGGCAGGGCACGTATTTGTCGTAGAGATCCAGGTGTGAAGCTACAGGGCCACTTCAGAACCTCAGTTCCTTTCCCTACCCAAAGATCCCATTCTCAGGAAGACAAACTAAAACCTTTGATAAATATAAGGCAGAAAGGACCTCAATGCACCTCCAAAGTATCTCAGGTTTTGTAAGTTCATCACAGCATTTTCACCCCAACTCCCTCAGTGAGCAGGGCGGTTACTGAGCGCTGCCGTCGTCACCTTGCCATGCTGCAGCCCCCTGGGCACTGTGTGCTGATAAAAGGTCCCTGCCCTTTCATTCCCTGCCTGTCAACATGACCCTGAAGCATAACAGGTAATTTCTCTATCTGAAACACCCTTTCTTCCTCCTGCGTCTCAAGTGGCTCACAGAGACAGCAGAAAATCCCCAAAGGCCATAGAGAAAGCAGGGGAGCAGCAGGGCTTTCTTTCTGCCTCTCTGTGCGTGATGTGGAACAGCCACAGGACGCTGTCCCCAGGGGTCCAACTCAATCACAGACACCGGGGAAGCAGCGCTGCAGGGAGCCAAAACCCAGGCTGGCACTTGGACGCATCCGTGTCCGTCCTGTCCTCACGAAAGCAGAATAAGGGTCAGAATTTGCCCATGTGCTGGACCGACACCAGACGGCAGCTTGCCCGGTACCCGGTGCGAAGAGAGGAAACGCGACGGTGCCAACGATGGCCGCAGAGCAGAGGCGCTGCTCGGCCCGCTCCGACGGAGCCGCTCGCCAGGGCAAGGGTAGGCGGCAGCGCCCGCTGCTCCCGGGACACGGCCCTGAGCCCGGGAGCTGCTGGTGGCTACCAGGTAATGAGCACGTCTCGCCAGACCCTCGTTAGCCTGACTGGTACAGGGGAGCGGTGTGAGCGGGGCCRGCATCAAAACCTGTGCGGCGGGAGCCCGGCACAGGCGGGAGCTGCAGCTGGGTCCAGGGGCTACCGCGCATTTGAATGATAAAAGATCAGAGGAAAATTCGAGAGGGAACGTGAAGGTAACGAGCCAGAGAAGGCGTGAGACGGAGGAAGGGGGTAAGATGGGAAGAAGAGAGAGAGAATTGAACGAGGAGGCTCAAAGGAGAGCAAGGCACCAAGGAAACGCTTGTGTTCCTCCTCCCCCAAGTAAATCAAAGAGAAGCCTCAAAGATGCTTCCTATGGGAAATGGGGGCTGCCAGGAGGCCGACTCTGCTGCCGCAAGGGAGCTGCGTGTGGCAGTGGGAGCACCATGAAAACACCTCAAACCTGCTAGAGGGGAAGGGGAATGTTCCCACATCCCTGCATGCCGTACCAGGAGCTGAGGCACCCMGCAGAGTCCCTGCTATCTGCCAGCAACATCCCTGTACAATCCAGCTTGAGCAGCAGGAACACAAGCCCCACCAGCTCACTGGGAACCCTCCCTGGACAATCGCTCCTTTCCATCAGTTTCAATAAATAAATAAWTAAATAAAGGAAAAAATAAAGTGGTTTTCTAGATGAGGCTAATTATGCAAGACTCCTGCTGCAAATAAGAACTGCAGCAGCACATAAAGCAGATTGCAAAATTAATCCCAYGGGCTTGCAAACAAGTTACTGTCACTAGCAACAAGCTGCTATTGCAGAGTATCAGGTCCTGTGCCGGGAACCTGCTGTTTCCATTAGCTGTCAACACAAGCCTCTCCTCCCTGCTCAGACCCATTTCATGCCCGTGTCTGGAACACAAATTGCACTTTCAATTATTCCATTACACCAAGTCATGGTCATAACTAGGAAACCACAAAATGGGAGAAAGCACAATTGCTTGCTTCCCTGTGGAAGAAAAGGCTTTTATGGCTACGGTGATTTGATAAGAATTTCAGCTTTTCTCTGTACTTCTCTCTGACTCATATATGTATGAACATAGATATTCTCCCTAAACAGCATGACTCCTGGAACTGTCACTTGGGAAGTGACCCCAGCAACAAGGACATAGAGCAGGTTAGTTGTCTACTAGTTGTCTATGATTGTTCAAGAAGATATGAAGTTAATGATGATACTGTTCTAGCAGCTCTACATGCACTAGCATCTACGGATCGGGTGTTAGAAATGGGTTTGTCCACTTTCCATAAATGAGATTTTCTCAGTTTCAGCTGGAAGAAAGGAAGGAGAGAAAGAAAAAAAAAAAAAGCCTGAAAATAAAACATTGAAAATTTGAGACACTAAAGAAATTCAGAAAACAAATTAAAATCAGAAGACAAAACTAGAATGCATTTTAAAATCCCATTTTAAACCAATCTCATGATTTGCCAACACAATTTTAAGATGATAAGACTGTTGATACTAGCGCAAGTCCCTTTTAAGAGTAATGCATTATCAGCTATTTGTCTTAATGCATGTAATTCCCACCAAAATCAGTTGCTCAGCACAGAATTCAGCCATGAAAAGAAACTAGTTTTGGATAATACAGGAACCATAAAACAGGAGTGCTCTGGTGAGAGGTTCCCCTTGGGCTGCACTCCAGCACTCCGTGGGCTGTGAAGCTGTTGGTAATTACTTTTCCATGGCAGGGATGGCTGCTAGGGAGCCCTGCAAAATGCTGACTTGCCTCTGGAAAGTGCTGAGCATGTAGCTCCCACGCAAGTCACAGGCGCCCRCGACGCTGGCGCGCAAGCCGGCTGGTGTCTCCGGAGGAACAAACTCTGCGGAAAGTTTCCCTTGCTCTGCCAGGCGGGAAGCGCAGACACATGGCGTGAGAGCCAATACGTCCTGGTGAGAAAGACTAAACAGGTCTATTTCTGTCAGCAGGCGGGAGAGAATTAAGAGGTGCTGGTTCAGGTTAGTTCGACCTTTAGCCAAATTGGCAGGGTCGATTCCTCAGGTTCCCCAGCCAGCTTATGGAGAAAGGGAGAACACTGCTGTGCAGGCTGCCTTCGGCTCCTCCTGCCATCACCAAGGGCTCTCGCAGCAAGAAGCAACACTCAGACTGACTTTTACTACACCAGCACGCTGTAAATCTCAGAGAGATTAAAGAATAAAACCTTGCACTGCCAGTGGAGGCACGGAAACATGTAATGGAGAAAAAAAACACTTCTGCAAAACACCTCCTGGGTAAGAAGCAGCCATGACTAAGGCAAAGGGATGATGAGTGACAGCTCTTCAATGCCCTCTCTGCTGCCCGCGCCGGCCAGCAGACCTAGAAGGCTGTGGCGCAGCCTCGCAGGGCGGCTCCTGCATTCCTCGCACCAAGGGGCACAGATGATACCCAGGCGAAAAGGCTGAACGACGGCTGCCCAGGGCTTCTTAGAAAACAAACAAACAAGTCCAGGCCAAAGCACTGTCATTTACGGGCAGTCCTGTGAAGAACGCAGGACTGGCATAATATGATCACTTCTCAATCTGACTCGGTCATGCTGCTAATACATGATGAGCAAGAGGCTGGGAAATCCCGCTAGGACAGAAAAAAAAAAATGGCACATATTGCTCTTGCATAGCAAGGGGAAAAAAAAAAAAAAATACCAGGAAACCCAGCTACCCTGGTCCTGCCTGATCATGGGAAGGGAAGAATTCCTCTCCTTCGTGGTCTGCCTCACTCCCTCCTGCCACTGCTCGTCTCTGTAGGCAACACATTATTTAAAAAACAAAGGGCAGAGCAGCACAGTACTGCCCAGTCTCTGGCTTAGCAGAAACAGGATTTTCTCCAGACCACCTCTGCAGCAGCTTGGTCAATTTGCCTTAGCCTCGGCTGGCAGCACACCCTGCTATTCAATCCCCAGGCCTCTCCACGAGGACGTTTCTGTCACTGCAAAAGCACGCWGCCGCGCTGGGCGAGCCGGACTGGCCACGGGGACAAGCAGCTGCGTAGAGTCCCCATCCTTGCCCCTGAGCAACCTTCATACCAGGAAGGCTTGAAGGATCTTGCTACCAAGAGATGGAGCAATCACTGGGGAGGAGCAATCCCTGAGGACAGCTGCTGTTCCAGGGTGAACCTGGCCAACTGGCAGGTCCCCCTGCACGTCCCTGCTCCACCTCCGGCCAGCTGCACACACCGAGTCCTGGAGACTTGGCTAGGAAAGGCCACATTCAGCAGCCTGTGGTGACGGCCAGTTACCAGCTTCCTTGGATTGCTCTCTGCCCACACCTCTCTTTTTTCAATATTTTTTCCCCAAAAGACTTACCTCTATGCTGAGCCCCATCACTGACACCCCCAAGCACCACACCTGCCTAGCTTGGGCATGGGCAGACAGAGGAGGTCTCCTGTGCCCTGCAAAAGGATGTCACCAGGGCCAGCCCTGTCCCTCACCCCTCAGCACAAGCTCAGCTACAGCAAGCCAGCAGTGCTGCTCTCACCTGCCTTCTGCCTTATCGTGGATCCACTGCCCCCCTGCTCCCCTTCCGAGGGCTGGTCACGACGCAGAGCATGGGACAGGACAGCAGAGCTCGCCTGACAGGACACCACAGATCTGCCACTTCCATGCTGTGACATGGGTGACAAAGCCAGACGGCTGCTCCGGCACCCGTGGGCTGGAGCAAACGGTGGCAGCTCTCTGAGCTCTGGGCAGAGTGCCGGGCTCTGGCCCATTCCTGCCTACTGCTGCTACGTATCTCACCCTGTAACAGCACAAGTCGGAAGCGCCGAGTACCCTGAGAATCCCAAACGCTCAAATCTGAGCCTGAAATGATCCCACTGAGTTCAATGAGACTGTGTACAGTCACTTTGTACCTCTGCGTTTTTTAAAATTTAAAAATGTCAGGGTTAGCAACCTTCAGCTCCTTCTGTTGCCATCTATAATTCTCAAGAAATAAACAACATGGGTCTGGAAGGATTAGGAGAAGGAACAACCTTTCTTTATAAACAGAATACAATCTTTTTTTTTCTGTTTTTTTTTTTTTTTTAAAAAGGTCTATATAGTCAACAAACTTACCATTTGCCTCTTGTTTTCTATCAAGTTTGATCCAATTATTCCAAGAAATGACCCAAAACCAAGCTGAAAAACAACATACTGTTAGCATTTAAAACAGAAAGATATCCAACATGTTTCACATGCAGACAGACACAATTAAATTCAGAAGCAGCAAAAGAACATGTTGTGAATGGGTAAGCACTCTTCCTTCTGCAGTGGAGTCTCTCACTAGCTAGAACTGAGAAGTGTATCACTTACATGACACTAAAAGCATGTGTAAAAAAACAAAAGGATGAACTTGAATTCACTCCCTTTAATGCTGAGAAATGGGTGGTGGATGAAAAGGTGTGTGGCTGTTTGGGAACAACCCAACAGAGATGTGGATGCTGTAGATGTGAACCCAGGAGTACCACAGCACTAGTGTCTGCAGGGCCAGCCGCTGGCAACCACCCCAAGGGCACGGGTAACCACTGAAGTGCTGAACTCAACAGCAAATTTCTTAATGGGACAAGATTTAGCAGTCACTTGCTTCTTCCACCCCCCCCCCATCTGCTCGGAGGGCAAGTCCTACACTCCAGGATCCTTTACCAGAAGAGTTCACACCTGTCTAGTGAATAGAATGAGCTACTTCAGCAAGAGCATCTTTCCTTCCCGCTGTAACTGGCAATTCTGTTTTTACTTCAGCTCAGCGAAGTTAGATAGGAGCACAGGTTCCCACCCCCCAAAGCTTTAAACTATTAGCCATACTGGAGAGGTTTCTAAGACAGAGTAGACCTCTGAAAGGCAAGAAACAAGGATTTTAACCAGGAAACACCGATCACAAGGAAAATTCTTGAAGTACTTCTGTAACTGTCACAACTAGAAAGGTCTTTCGTCAGCATATATCATATGCAGCTCTGTTTCTATGACTGAGAAATGCTGAAGAAGTCCTACAGTTGCCGTTGTTCACACTAAGCCGCCTGCACCGTCATTCAATAACCTAGGGCAAGTGACAAGTATCTGGATGGGGGTGACTGGCTAAAAAACCGATCACTCACTTCCAAAGCAGCAGAATAAGGCAGGAAACAAGCAGCAGTGATTCAAGAAGGGGCCAGCAAACCTGTAATCGATGTGAGATCCACAAAGGGGAAACAGAGGTCTAACAAATCCAATATTAACAAGCAGAAACAGAGAGAGAGACTGGAAGACAGAATGAGAAGCTGACAAATCTTTTCCTGCTCTGCTTTGCAATGTGATATCTGGTGCTTCGCCAAAGGCAGTAACAGGTGTTGACTGAAAGAGCAGAGGATCAAAGCAGAGCAGCCCATGGGGCTGCTGCTGCTCCCGGGCTCCTGCCTTGTGCTCCTCTCCCACCGCTGTCCTTGCCCCAGGGGCTGCTTAAATACTAGGCTTAACTAAGGAAGCAGGCTCTGCTCAGCACGGTGGCTGCCGACAGAAGGCTGCACTGCTGAACTGTTCCAGATTAACCTGATGATGCTGCTGGGCTAGACCGTTATTAATACAGTTAGTTTTTGGTATTATCCTTTTGCACAGTTTTGGCTAGCAAAAGCCCCCAGCTTCACTATGTTATGGCAGTTTTACAGACCAGAACCTGGGAGATTAGGACAGCAACATGGATGCAGGTACTGTTTTTAATCTGGTGGGGTTTAGCGGCAGAAAAAACATTTGGCAACACATGCACCTAGGGCAAACACTGAAGAAAAATCTTTTGTGCTCTTTGAGCTTGATCCAACTCATTTACAGAAACTTCCACATGGTGACTCAGAGCAGCACCAGAGCAAAGGAGAAAGGCTGAGATAATTCAAGGTAGAAGAACGAAGTGGAGTGAGGCTGTACATCCTACAAGTGAAGACTAAATACATCAGCGGAGTCATCCTGCAGGAAAGGGAAGAATGTGTTTTTCCACTGATGGGGCAAAGGGACCTTCATTATCTGCATCACTTGTATCACTTATCTGTTGATGGAGATGATCCCTTGAGATGTTCATCTGAAAAGGGCAGGATACAACTGAATGTGCTTTCCCACAGTAAAGCCTTATGTTTACAGTAAAGACTTATGTTTAATAAGGAATCATCACAGAAGAGCTTTGCCAGGCAAAGCCTAAGATAGGTCAGTCATTTATACTGATGCTGGAAGCTGAACCTGGCAGCAGCACATTTGCCTCCTGAACAGGCTTTCACAAAACAATGCAGAGGAGACTTCTCTATGAGCCTTGTTCTGTCTGCAGCCTCCAGAGAGACCCTGTCCCATTTCTGAATCTGGCTGCATTTCACAGAGATGTTGCATGGAAGCTCTATGCCCATTATATACAGCAAGAAAGAGTTTTTGGAGCTCAAAGCCACAAGGAAAAGTTTTGAAGAATGTTTTTCTTAAAGATTCACCACCAAAGAAAAGAACTTTTGAGCCATTACTTAAAAAGAGAGAGAATTTTTAAACTAATCTCCCAGTCCGTGGCTTCACTCCCATAGGTCTGCTTGACCTCTGTGCCTAACTTTTCATCTGCGAAGCATCACTGTTGCAGGCTCAGGTCACCTATCCAGTCATAAACACATTATTTCTTGTGAAAACACCATTTAAGTGCACATACAAGTAGCRGTGAAGGTGTCAGCAGCAGGAAAGGTGGTGAAGGCCTCCTTGTCCTGTTTGTGAATAAATAAAATCCCACTGATGTGTGGAAAGGTCTCCAAGACAATTCTAAGTTAGATTGCTAGATCTTTCCTGTTCATCCTCAGCAACCCCCTGGGAAAATGACTCCCAGCAGGGGACAATCATTTCTGTGCACATTTCCTCTTTGTGTGCTGTTCCTAAGTGGTGCTTGCCCAAGGCTGCAGGCTAGAGGAAGAAAGAACCAGGCATTAGGCACAGGAGCAGCAGGACACGCTGCAGGTTTCATGGTGCGCCGCACACCCACTGTCACYTCCCAAGGGGACCTGTGCCAACAGTGTGTGACGGCGGCAGCGCCTGCAGCATCATATGCAGGCCAGCCCACACTAATCCAGTCTGGTTGCTTGACTCAACACAGAGCACTGCCCCCTGAGAGCTTTGGGTGCCCATGCGCAGAGAATCTGGTGCTGTGTTTACTGGGAACCCTTCCAGACCCCTGGCTGAGGGGCACTGAGCTGTTCTAAGGGCTGAGCAGAACTTGTACTGGGCAATACTGCTGTGGCTTCAGGGGAATCACTGACCCTTCCTAGAAAGCTACAGGAAAATAATATTCCTTTTGGAGAATGTGAACTAGGAAGGGTTTCATATCATCCTACAGACACTAACATGCACAATGGGAGAGCAGGAGCACAACTCCCTTCTGCAAGAACAACTKAACTTCCACAAGACTACCCAGTTCTGTGAGTCTAATCCATGAAGGAGAAACCACTCAACACACAAGACGTTGGCACTACATTTTCCTCACCAATGTGGAGGTACTAACAGCAACACCACCAATGGTGCCGAGGGACCACTGGTGGCCTGACTTTAATGCAAACTTTGTGTGCCAACACCTGTATGGAGTCATTTCTTTGGGGCTGTGGAGGTCACCTGTTCAGGCACAACTCACTGAGTACTCATGCCTCCCCATAGGCTATTTTTCCACAGCAAAGAGAGAAATGCCAGATTGTTACCAAAAAAAAAAAAAAAAACCCACTAAATAGTTGTTTTAAGTGCCAGCTGAAGCACCCAGCAGCAGACGGAAAAGCTTTCCTGTGCAGGAAGGCTGGGAAGGTTATCACAGATTTCCACACAGCAAACTGACAGAAGTATTCTGGTGACAAGTCTACAAAGTCAGACTGCCTCTAAGCACAGTAAATCGATACAAACGAGCTCGAGTCCACAAATTCATGAATTCCTTGAGCCGATTCTACATCTTACAAAACCGTAAGTGGTGCTGATGTTCTCTGACTAGTTAGGTAGATGTCAGGAGGATGTGAACACAAGCTCGACCCATCTGTACCAGTCTGCGGGATCTGCTCTGCTGCATGGGGTTCAGCCCAGGTGGACAAGGCATAGGGCAAGTACAGGGAATGTGAAGACAGCTCTTCACCCCCTCAACACCTTCCTTCTACATTTCTCTCAAAACAACAACAGAAAAACAGGCCTATGTGCAGAAGCTACTGTAACCAGCCAGAACAGCAATCTCTGGTCACAGACAAAACAGTCCATAATGACATTTCAAAACTAATGGCTGTAAAGGGTCTGTCTTCAGTCACAGTAGAGCTTATCCACGGACAATTACAAATCCCCTTGAGATCAACAATCCACAGTAAATAAATCAGACAACAGTAAGGCAGGAAATCAGCCTAATGATTTGGATAGGCTTTAAACCTCCAATCTGCAGGCTTCAAACCTAAGTGCACAACACTGCATTGCTCTTAMAACAGCAGCCTCTATCCGCAGGCTGCAGGGACACCAATGTGCTAAGCCAGCGCACCCGACTGCAGCCAGGTCCCTGCTCTGGTGCCCTCTGAGCACTCCTCACACAGGACCTGCTTTCCAGCTTGCTAGATCTCTGTGCAGACTGCTTTGGGGCTGGGTGAAAAGGCATGAGGTACCTTCTTCCAGTGCTTCTGCAGAAGCTTATACATCCAATGCAGCTAGGCTGGACACCAGCTGTCTTCTCTAAATTAAGTCATTTGCAGCTACAAGTTCTCCCTTTCCCATTTCCACTCGTTAATAAAAATTGATGTGCCAGCAGCTTTGATAWGCAGTTTCCTCCAGCAAGTTGCCAAAGCTTTTATTAATGTGGTCCTCCTCGAAGACCCCAAATCATTAAACGCTTCTGTAAGTAAACTTTATGATCATGAATTCATGCGGGCTGCATTTCAAGACGTGGGTTCCCAACTATTCTTGACATCTATGGTCTTTCTTCTCTTTAGTGCCAGGCTTAACCTGATTTGTAGCAGGGGAAGAAAAGCAGCTCYAAGGTTGTTTTGGCTGCCATAAAACCAATTTATCTGTCTCACTGCTAGCATAACCCAAGCTCAGAGGAAACTGCCACTTGACTGAATGGGAGTTTTGCATGGGAATGAGCAGCAGGTGCAAAATAATAATAAATCAAATAAATCAAATGGCAATGAAATAGCTGAGCAGATGTTAATATTCAGGACACAATCACCCTTTATAACATTTGCAGCATTACAAGGGACTTTGTAGGCAATAAGTTTTCTAGACCTACCTAGGAGTTCTATACTTACAATAACCCCTGGGTAATAACCTCCAACAGTCACATTTTGGGTTCTTGTTGTAGCAGCTAGGCCCACCGTTAGAATTAATACTGACACAATGAGGAGAGTCACAGTTACGTAGAGGGAATTTCTCTTTCTTCTATTGAACGACCCTAAAAACACACATACACAACAGAATTTGCTAGTTCCATCTGGGGTCAGTCACAGTATCGCAAAATTCTTCTCCCACCACCAACCACATGATGCTGAATTTCCTTTCTAGCAATTTAAACATTTTTTTTTTTTTTTTTGTTTAGGTGTCACTTCTTATGTTCATTTATATGCTTATAAGCACTTTTTAGGGCACCTGAATTCCTATCTATTTACTATTGCTCTGATATGGAAGAAGAGAGCACCAAGAACTCTAAATTTACAAAGCTCATATGGATACAAAGGAGTTTCCCAGTCCCTTCCTGTCTGGGACAATTAAACCAGTAAGAAATATCACCTAGACACTTACTACTTTTCCGATAGGTCTGCTTCCATCAAGTTAAATAGCCACAGTAAACACAACTTATTTTGAGGGGAGAACTTTGCATGCAAATATATTATAGGGCATCCACACTTTTCTATGTAAATAAGTCACCAGCACTAACAACCACTTTTCCTCCTCCTACGGTATCAACCTCTCCTTACAGCAAAGACCAAGTATTTTTAGACACTATTTGAATAATGAATTTGCAGATTAGCAGAGCTGATATACAGCTGCTTGATTCTGGCCTTTTTGCTTTTATATATTTATAGATCTCCCAAGCGAGCATAAATATGAAATAGCAATTCCACCAGCTCAGAAGGGAAGCCTGCTGTGATGTTACACTCAGCAATATCTTCAGGGATGTTCATTTAGTGCATGTTTTGCAATCTTCAAGACACTTTTTGAAGCAAACCTTTCGATTTTGTCTCATTTGTTATGTAAACAGAGCCCAACAGAAGCCAGTGCAGCTGGGAGAGGACTGGCAGAGCCTCCCTGCGCTTTGGCAGCTGCGCGCGCTCGCTGCCAGGGCAAGCCCCAATTCCACCCGGCACTCTGTGCTTCTCCAAAGCAAGTGAAGAGCAAAGGCGCTTCCCAGCCTGAAGCTCCCACACGAGGTCAGTCCCAAGCTGTGGCCCGACAGCGAGGTGCTGCTTCCACAGCTGCCCAGCACGTTCCCTAAAGCGAGCTAGGTTTGGGAAGCCCCATCTGAGGCCTTCAGGGGCTGACAGTCCGTATGGGGCAAGACAGAACATCTGCATAAAGGAACTGCTAACTCTGCCGCACAAACAAGAAAGATCAGGCCAAGTCAAAGACAAACTTCTCCAAAATTCCTCCCAAAAGGAGTGCGCCTTGAAGATGTACATCCCAGGAGCTCGCAGGCCGATCTTTAGGGTCTCCATACATTTGTGGTAAAGCTACAGAGRTCTTTGGCTTTGACTATACCGGGTCACTGACACGGTCGTATGGACACACATGGAGCAAACGACTGTCCTTCCTCTGCAGGGACAACTCTCCCAGGACACAGCCAGGACACCTCCCACCTCTGCACCCGCTCGGATCCGATCCGCCAGTGCTGCGTCTCGCGGGAGCTCTCTGGTGCCGCGTGCTGACCAGTGGGGCTGGCATGGCTGTGATCAGCACGAGGCCACATCAGTCGCCCCGCACAGCGCCGAACAGTTCAGACWGACAGGTTCTCCACAGGCTTCAAACCCCAACAACTCAACACAAGGAGATACAAGGCAAGAAAAGGTTCGTGGGTAACAGTAATATCCTTTTTTGACTGACCAGCATCTTTGGAGGGAAGCTCTCCACCTACAAACCTTTTGCTTATGTTCTTGAGCACAGCTGGAATTGCAGTTCTAGGAGAGCACAAGATCTAATGCAGAGGGTCTGCAGCTGGTTAGTCAGTTCTCACCTGGAATCAGTAACTGGAGAGTTCCAAATAAAAATGTTATTTCAAACAACTGCTGGAGTACCCTTAAAATCCAGGTCATATCTTGTATCAGCATTCCTCAGCTCTCTGTATCATTTTTTGTTTTGCAGAATGAACCTAATTATTTAACAAAACTTCAGGTTGTATCCTTTTATTCTGCTAAACCTACCACATAAATTAATAAATATAAAATATAGACTTTTAAATTACTTAAGAATCTATCAGAAAAGATGCTTCTGCATATATTACTTGCCAAACACCAAAATACAGCTTGTGCAATGCTCCAGATCAAATATAATCATTAAATACAAGTGTCACATAAGTGTCTTAAGTTCCAAAGCACCAGAACTTAAGGTTCAGTTGAGCAAATTTCAAGAATCTGGGCGAAATAAAAGCTGACACCTCTTACACAGATCAGCTTTAAAAGGAAATAAAGAGCAAGTCTTACTTACACACACAACGGATTACCTAAATTGTGATTATTGGAATAGTTTGGCTGGAAAATGAGCAGAGGGTAAGCAAAACCAGCCATATGTTCCTCGCACAGCTTGATTTCTTTACAGTTAGGCTGTGTGGGCGCGCAGATGTTTGTACGCTATGTAAAATAACCCCGTGGAACAAGTTGGAATAACTGCACACGATATATGTGCACTGAGTTCACACACATTAGCTGGTATTTTAGCACTTTCCATTCAGAAAATTGCAATAAAAGTGGACAAAAAAAAAAAAAAGAGCTGGCTTTCCCCAGAATCAATTATTTACAAAATTTACATTTTTCTAGAYATTTTTGCAGGAAAATGCTTCAAATTAAGAAGCTTTAGATGTTTATATATATATTGCACTTGCGTCAGAAATCACATTTTCCACATCTTGATTTCTAACATTATTTCCTAGCTCACACCTGACACTTAGCAATGCATAAGGTAAAAAAGAAAAGATTTCCAAAAAGAAAATTTTAGGAAGTTTTTAATACCTTGCAAATTGTATTAAAAAAAAAAAAAAAAAGATTTTCAATGTAAGTTCTAACCAAAATAATTTTTTTTTAAGTGCAATGTGATCATCTCCATCTCTGTATCTGCGGGACACTAACTTCATCGCGGCTTTACTGGAAAACATGTTTTTTTCCATTAAGGGCATACTGAGGTGTTTTCTGCAGCCCCGCGCGGGAGCCTGCGTCTCTTTCGGGGCTCCCTCACTCTCAGGCCCCTCAGAGGCGCCTCAGCACCACTGTGAAGAGCCACCCCCGAGGCCACCAATGTCACGGCTCATTTTTCCAGAGGCATTCCCGTTACCTGCCGTTTTCCTCTCTGTGCACGGCAGCACGGCGAGCGCTGCTCCCGAAGCGCTTTTGCTGCGGGCTGCAGATGACAAGCGGCCCGCGCTGCCCCAGATTCCAGCGCACGTCGCTCTGGTTACCGGGAGAAACGGGGCCAGGAGGCGCCGCTGCAGCGCGGACCTCCCCGCCGCGTCCTTCGCGCGGGACGTGGCCGCGGCACGCGGGGACAGTCCCCGCGCTGCCCTGGTGCCAGCTCTCCCGGTGCCACCTCACCGGGCTGCCCCGAGCGCTGCGGCGGGTGCGGGGCGCAGCGGGCGGCTCCCCGCGGCG